CGGTATTCGATTCGACAGCTATTCGACCAGCTGCTATTCGAATCGACTTTTACTTTTCAAGGTCGAATACGTCGAATATTTGAGCCCACAGTCCTCCAATATACTCACGAGAACATCATGGGGTACTAGATCAAAGGCCTTTTGGAAGTCAAGATATACAATGTGATTCTCTTCTCCCTTATCCAGGTGGCAAGTTACCTGAGCATAAAAGGAGATGAAGTTGTTAAAACAAGACCTGCCCGTGACAAAGCCGTGATGGCTGTCATTTAGAATCCTACCTTATGCAAGCCTATCACATATAGCAGAGATGGGGAACCTCTGGGCCCCCGGCCAGATGTGGTCAGCCAGGGACTCCATTTCCCAGCCGCCGTGCCTGCTGTCACTGCTGCAAGGAGCCGGACAGAGCCACAATCCCCTGCATGCGTGCCCCTGCCTGGAGTGTGCAGGCTACAGATTGCAGCTCTGTCCTGGCTCCAGAGCAAGCTGCCCACACCACAAGGTCCTAGCAGCTCTAGAGCAGCCCCCTGCGCTGCTCTGCCATGCATGCTGCCAGCGTGGCTGAGGCTGGGGTCTCCGCTGAGATCAGCACAAGCCATGCGGGCAGGGGCAGGTAGGAAATGGAGTCCCCAGCTTACCGCATCCAGCCCATGGGCAGGATGTTCCTCATCCGTGGCATATAAACTCCTTGATGAGGATCTTCCCCAGGATAGAAGTTAGGCTGATTGGCCTATAGTTACCCAGGTCCTCCCTTTTTTGAAGATGGGCACAACATTGGCCCTCTTCCAATCCTCAAGGACCTCCCCCGAGAACCTTGAATTTTGGAAAAGTTTTGCCAGTGGTCCCGCAATGACTTTGGCCAGCTCCTTCAGCACCCTCAGATGAAGTTCATCTGGTCCTGCTGATTTACAGTTATCTAACTTTTACAAATGATCACACACCAGTTCTACAGTAATAGTAGGAGGGCATTCATTCCTGACTGTAGCCATATTGGTCTAAGGACATAGGCAGACAAGGTTCTTTGGGTAAATCTGATATCTTTTATTAGACCAACTAAAATAGTTGGA